ACCGCCTTCTGCCTCAGATTACCTCCCATCGGCCGGTACGCTCCCACAGAGTGGGTCTCCTCAGGGTGCCGTCAGCCAGACAGTGCCGGCTGGCGACCCCCAGGGGGAGGGCCTTCTCGGTGGGAGCTCCCACCCTATGGAATGAACTACCCCCAGAGATCAGGGTGATCCCGGATCTCCCTTCCTTCCGCCGCGCCCTTAAGACATGGCTATTTCAGCTAGCAGGACTGGCCTAAGGGGTAATTTTTAGCTGGGTTTTTAAAATAATTTTAAAATAACAAAGGCCAAATTAATATTTCTTTTTAATTATGTTTTTAATGATAGTATTTTTTGTATTTTTGTATTTGTTTTTATTAGGCTGTTAGCCGCCCTGAGTCCGCAAGGAGAAGGGCGGGGTAAAAATACAATAAATAATAATAATAATAATAATTGGGTATTAAAACTGGGGTCTTATGAATGCCAAATGTTGCCCTAATGCTGAGTTATAGCCCTCCCAGAAATCTAGAGCATGGCTTGGGCCATGCCTAAGCATTGCTTCTCTTCAACAGAGACCCTGCTTGCAGACATTCCTGAATAATCCTTTGTCTCATTTGGAAAATTGATAAGAAACATCCCATGTGTTTGAAAAAAAGAGGACTTGTCTTCTTTAGCCAATTTAATTTCCTCTATTTAAGCTGGTTAATTTCTAGCAGCTTGATTGTAGCTGTACATGTAAGTATGTATGTAATTATATCAATTATACTTGAGTATCAAAATGCTCCTTAGATCCAGCTTTATTTCTATTGTAGCTTTTTGTAATCTAGCTGTAGCAGTTAAGAGTTGGAGGCTCATTCATTGGGAGGGGAACATGTTGGGGAAACCGCCCTAGTACTGCTCTTCAACATGCTACATAATCTATTTATTTAATTTGTATCCTGCCTTTATTAATTTTACAAATAAGGCGGCAAGCATATCCAACACATCTTCCTCCCCCTATTTTTCCCACCACAATAACACTGTGAGGTGAGTTGGGCTGAGGGAAAGGGATTAGCCTAAGAGGTCACCCAGCTAAGACGGGACTAGAACCTACATTCTCCGGGTTTCTAGCCCGGTACCTGAACTATTAGAAACCCTGACTCGTTTTCTTTTATATGTTCTTAGCTCAACGTACCCTATTGGCAGTGGAGATTCCTCTGATCGTAATGTCCCTGGTTATTCTGTATTTGTCTCTTTCTATCATTAATTGCATCGGGATTCCTACCTGTGCAAATAGGAACAGAGGAATTGCCATTCTTGAAACAGCAGGCTATAAATGGAGATGTTCTTCTGCTTTCCAAACAAGCTCTTCATGATGGTTGGCTGGTTGGTTGGGTTTCCCAGAAACGGATCCACATTCTTTTTCAGCCTGGATTGGCAGCCCAGGATGGGTGCCCTTCTTTGTTCAGCTTCTTTTGTGTTTACAGCATAGGGATATGGTCGAGGTCTGGATCTACTGCACGTTTACTCCCTTTAGAGCAGAATCTCAACTGTTTGAACAGAGCTGGAGGCAGTGGGGGAATACATTTGCCTAAGCATTATCCTTAATTTTTCTCACATGGGCATGAACATGTGGGCAGCCCGGATGACTCTGGAGTTTTTCTCTTAACATATTTAGAGTGAGGAATCTGGGTGCATTGTCAAATGCCCATGGACTTCCTGTGCGCCTTCTGCATTGTGCTTGAAGCATTATCAGCCACTGAAATAGAGTCAGTTCTTCTTCTGTACTAGTCCCTCCCTAAGCAGACCTTTCACCCCTCCCTTAATTGCAGCTGGAAGGGGGAGGGATGAACCGCGATCTCTTTACAAAGCTGTGCAGAAGGAATTGCTTGAATTGAAAGAGAGAAGAAACTAACTGGTGCTCTTTGTCATACAAAGCGGTGTCTTGGATGCCCCAGTCAGGCTCCTGAGGGTGCTTTTTTGAAAGCTGTACAAAGATCTGCAAGTTGCATTCCATAATTCAGTCCCAGATGTGCTGTGAACACCTTATTTTATTTTGCTGCTTCTTCTGTGCCTCTTACATTCAGTGAAGGTAAGTCCACAATAGACATCTGGGATTTCCCCCCCTTTCCTTTCTGATAGATGAGTTTTGTTTGCTTCTTTGCTTGATTTGGTTCTAACTTCTCATATTAATTGTTTGCATGAGTAAATAAAAAAATGAAAGATCAGGAAGAAATGGTCCTTGTTAACAACAGCATGTGTGGGTTTCCTTACAGTTGTTTTCAGCTGATAATAGGCCAGTTCCTTGCTTGTGTGATTTAAGCTTACCACTTTTTTTTTTTTACAAATACCAAATATTCTACGTAGGATAGGAATGTTTATAATAGATTCACACAGCAAAGTAACCAAACGTACTCAAAATTTTCAATGGCCAGACCTGGCATACTGTAAGAGAAGGAACCTGTCATATAACTGAAAATTACTATCATGTATAAATTGTATAAATGTATAAAATATATAAAACAGAGAGGTTGGAATAAAACTGAGCAAGAGACAGATCTATAGCCGCTAAGAGTCTCCGGACGTCAGACAGCAAATAAATTTAATAAATGATGATGAATCTAACCAATACCGATCTTATTGAATAGTAACCCTGACTGATTTTTCAATGCACTAAATATTAAGACATCAAACTGAGTTTTTCTTTTAAAGGATTAATTCTGATTCCTTTAAAATCATAAGAAATGCAACAGCTTCCTTAGGACCTGATTAAACTTAGTTGTCCTCCCATTGATTTTTTCCCCCTATAGCTAATTAGAATAAAAACACAAGACTATCTTCCCAGAATATCTTGAAAATCCTTCCATGTTTAATGCTATCAGTGTAGTAAGCTAGGCACATTATGGAATGCGAATACAATATTAAAGTGTAACATTTTAACTAGTTATCACAAGGGCCAGTTTAACAGTGCTTCTCCCCCTTTCCTTCCTGTGTCAATAATTCAGATCTATTTTGGCTGATTTATTAACAAGATCATCTGTGTTCACTGGCCTTGCAAGAAGATTTTTATAGACCTGTAGCTTAAAAATCATCCTTAACACCACCTGCATTAGCTTTATATTGAGACTCTATTGAGGACAGGAGAACCATAGCTAGAATATGTATTCACCCTATCTGGAAAGGTATAGAAATCACTTTTAAAATAAATTCAGGGCATTTTTTAAAACCTGCCTGCCAATCATATTTTTAAGGGAGAAATGAAATGTATCCAAATCTCATGTGTAGTGTGCCTTTAAAATTTTAAAATCAATGAAAGACATACCTTGGGCTGTTCAGACTTACAATTTAGGCTCCTATAGTATCAGCCATTTCCAGAAAGGCAGTTTTTATTCATCTCTGGCATCAAAAAGACACAAAGAGTCTTAATAGGACTTTAAAGACTCAGCCAGCCTTTACAGCAGAAGCCTTCACGTCGGAGTCAAGGGATTGTTGTCCATGTGGGTTATGCCAGGCAACAATCATTTATTTGCTCAAAACTAAAGGTCGTTATGGAGCAGATAACACTATCCAGGCAATCAACCCAGATGAATTCCACAAAATAAGTATATGATTCTGTCTAATGTGCAATGCAGCTCTTTGTGTGTGTGTGTGTGTGTGTGTGTGTGTGCGTGTCTCTGCTTTGTGTTTTTGGCTTTTCCCATGTGTGCATCTGGGGCTCCAAGATTGACTCCTTATGTTGAGAAATCAAAGCCTTTTGTTGGCGGCATCCTGTCTGTATAATTCTATGCTCGGAAGGGCTAATGGGGCCGCTGAACACAAAGACTAAACCTTTCCATGGAGAAAAATAGCTGTTTCAGAATACTGTTTTATGAATCAATTTAGAAATCAGTATTGCTGAGGCACAACTGATCTGTACTGGTTGCTGGGAGTGCTGTCATAATTTGCTTTTGTTTTAATTTCACACTGTGGTGTTCATGTTTCATTAGCTATGTTTTATTTTGCTGTCTACATTTTGAGAATAAAGGATAATTCAGTTTTAGGGCCAAAAGGGAACCAAAGTTTATCCGTGCACAATTCTATACTTCTTGTCCTTTGATTTTGTCTCTTTTCTACAGTACTGTTATTTTACCTCTTCCTAATTGCCCAACATTTCCTTTTGGTATGTGGCATGAGTGTCATGCGTTAATTTAATTTAATTTAATTTAATTATTTAATTTTTCCAACAAGTTGTTTTTCAGATGAACCCTTTGTCCTAGGAATTCTGGATGTTCTCAGCATATCTTGAAGGAATCAAGCCAGGGAAAACTCTACTTTACAATAAGAAACTTTAGAAATCAATATAAAGAAATATATTCCTCCTACATGTTCATATGTCTATTTTTTTAAACAAAATTTCTTTATCCTCCTTATCCTTTTCCCCTTTTTGTGAATGTTCACCCTCCACCCTCATTAGCTTTGTGTTATTAAATAAGTAAAAGTTAAAGAGAGCCACCCAGAGTTGGTTATAAGATAGGCAGCCATAGAAATGTTTTAAATAAATAAATAAAACAATGAGGGACTTTAGAAATGAAAATTCTGGGGAAAACGGAGTTATCTTCATTCCTTAAGTATTTTTCTTTACATCGTATCAGCTCAGAAATAAGTACAATTGACTTTCCTTACAATTACGCTACTAGTACTTGAAAGAATTATTTTTTTAAGACTCACAGCTGTAAGAGAAAGGTTTCTTTTTTAAATTACTGTAATAGTAGTCCCAAAGGTGCTTTTTCAAGAGGCAATTGGACTTTCTTAGTTTTTTCTTGAAGATATTTCGCTTCTTATCCAAGAAGCTTCTTCAGTTCTGACTTTCCTTGAAGTGAGACATCTTCAAGAAAAAAAAATAAAGGAAGTCCAGTTGCCTGTTAAAAAAGCACCTTTGGGACAACCATGACCTGGATGACTGAGAATCTCCATAGACATTTAGTGTAATAGTAGTGAATCATTTATGAAATGCTTTCTTGTCAATATATTAGGTAGTGATTAAAATAAATTGAACATAATAGAAAGAAAATTTAAACCCATATGAATCCAAAGCATTGATATGAGATTAAAATAAACTGAACACAACAGAAAAAATAATAATTAAAATCCATATAAAATCCATATAGTGTTGACACGGGATTAATTACATCTTTAAGCTTGTTAAATCTAGACCTATGGAAATGTATTGCTTCATCTTTTCATATTTAGCATACAAAAACTTTTCAAAAATCAATAACTGAGTCCAAGAGACCTTGGATATATATTTAAAAAGCAAAGTTCCAATGTACAATCATATTTTTTTCATAAAGTTTTGATGCATTATTATTTTTGTGTTCTATTTAGTCTGCTCTGGGTCAATCAATGAATATTAAGGATGCATCTGGGTGTATTCTTAGTATTTTGGAGATATTAGGATTCAGGATTTGAGGGGCATTGCCTAAAATGATTTTTGCATCATAGAGAGCAGAAATGTACAACTGATTTGTAGCATTGGATGGTTCATAATTGTACATTGTTAACATTTGAATTAGACTTTATTAAAAAAAAAGAAGTACTTTTTTAGGCAATATGGCCAACATTTTAAAAACAGTTCAGTTGATAACAATTTTTCAGGGCTGATTAATTTTCAGCTTATGTATTGATTGTTTAATACGGTTTATGCATTTATACATTTTTATTTGCATGATAAAATAAAACAGTAAATGAAAAATGTCTGAAAAATAACACATGTATGGGTTTTCTAGGAGTAAATATAATCCAGAAAGATGTCTCAGAGCCCAGAAGTCATTGTCCCGATGGCAGATTGCAATACAAATGGTATCCAGAATCAGTCCTGCAGCTCAACAAAACCCAGTACTGTCGCCTTTTGTAACATCTGCTACAGAGTGAAGACAAAGAGTGGATTTATAGGCTGTCGAAAAATAGTTGAAAAAGAAATTTTGAAAGATATCAAGTATGTTCATTTACTACATCCACTTGCGTGCTCAGCTTGTTTTCTTTTTAGTTATCCTTAGCATTTCCATAGAATTTTTAACATGGCTCATTTGCAATATTTTGGAAACTTTTAGGACCAGATGATGTCACTAGGATAATATCCTTGAGATTTGAAGTTTGTCTAGTTGTTGAGGTTGTGCTTCGCTGAAACATCAGGTGTATAATTTGGACTTTTTTTTTTTTTTTGGCTCTTCCAGACAGCTTTTGACTCCTGGCCTGGATTAGTTTTCTTGGAAAGTTTTCAGAAGTAGTTTGCTATTGTCTCCATCCTTGGGTTGAGAAAGAATGACTGGCCCAAGATCACACAGCTGGCTTTGTGTCCAACATGGGGCTAGAACTCTTGGTCTCATGGTTTCTAGTTTAATGTCTTGACCTCTACACCAAACTGACTCTCATAATTTGGACTTGCATAGAGTCATTTAGGCCCCAGTGGCTTCCATAGTAAGGAATGCCTTTTTCAGATTCAGCTGGTCTACTAGTTGAGTCCATTCCTGGACAGTCAGTATTTGAACACTTATCTGTGATATATTTTTTTTTGCATCATCAGAAAGTTTCAATCAGGGAAGAGTTCACACTAATGAGAAAGAATATAGTGTTTCTTTTTTCTCTCAGGATGCCTATGTTTATTGACTAATCTTTCTATTAAGGATAATTAATATGATGGCCATTTGTAAATTCTTGTGGCAGTTGTGCAGCAGTGAAAAAAATGCTATCCTTTCTGAGGTGTACACTTTCTACTACAGTCATTTATGCCATATCCCAGGGGTCTCCCACCCCCAGTCTGTGGACTGGCACAGGTCCGCGGCATGCCAGCACCTGGGCCTCGCAAACAAGCAAAGCCCCATCCGTGAGATGCAGGCAACATGCGAAACGACACCCCCTCCGGTCTGTGGAAAAAAACTCTCTCCATAGAACCGGTCCTTGGTGCCCAAAAGGTTGGGGGCCACTACCGTATCCCATACATTTTTTTTTTAAAGTACAAAATGAAGGTAAATATACCTGTCCCAAGATAATGTTTCGGGATCGATTGAATCTTTGTCAGTCACCGGGACCAGAGGTTTAATCTTTCAAGCTTTCAGACTTCTGCTGGAGCCCATTCTCAGGGATATCTGAGAATCTCTCTCACCAGAATGTGTCACCAGTGGCCTCCAGCACAAGTACAGAAGCTCAGAAAACTAAACCTCTGGACCAGGTGACCCACCCAGATTAGATCCTAAAAAATTCTTATCCTTGGAATCAGCTAGAAGAGAACAGAATATGAGATAAGTCGTATGTGAGAATGAAGTATAACCACTAGATAACAAATGAAGAGACATGAGAAAATAAGGCATTGTCTGCTCTAGATCTAAAAGTTGGTTGACTAGTTTGGAGAATATAGAAAAAAACACAAAGCACAGTAACCCAAGTTCAAACACCAGTTGTCTCCTGTTTTCGGATGTTTGTTGTATGGATCTCCCTTTAAATGTTTACTTTCCATCATTAGTTTGGCCCGTGTAGGCTCAAAAGTTCAGTATGGTGTGGGATCAGTGGGTGATGTTATAAATAATTAACTGAATTATATTACTCTCTGTGTGAAAAGTAAAAGGGTTACTCCCTGCAGAATATTCAGCAAAATACACCTGGATAGCTAGAAACAGCGTGTCATGAAAGCAGAAGTCATCAAACTTAATTACACCATTAAAAGATTTCAGATAATATCTGAGGTCATGGTTATATTTTGAAGTCAGTATTATTTTTCACACAAAAACTCCTGAAAATAGATTCAGGTCTCTGCATATTTGGATCAATGGATTTCAACTTATTACTATAGGTAGTCTTTAATTTATGGCCAAAACTGAATCCAACATTTATGTTGCTAAGTGAGAAATTTGTTAAGTGAGTTTTGCCCCATTTTACGACCTTTCTTGTTAAGTGAATCATTGCAGTTGTTAAGCTAGTACCACGGTGGTTAAATGAATCTGGGTTCCCCATTGACTTTGCTTGCCAGAAGGTCACAGAAGGGGATCCCATGACCCAGGACAGTGTAACCATCATAAATACAAACCAGTTGTCCAGCATCCAAATGTAAATCACATGACCATGGAGATGATGCAACGGTCGTAAATAAGAAAAATGGTCATAAGTCGCTTGTTTCAGTGCCATTGCAACTTTGAACGGTCACTAAACAAACTGTTGTAAGTTGAGGACTACCTGTATCTAGAAGTCTATGGAGATCTTCAGTCATCCAGGTCATGGTTGTCCCAAAGGTGCTTTTTCAAGAGGCAACTGGACTTTGTTTTTCCTTGAAGATGTTTTGCTTCCCATCCAAGAAGCTTCTTCAGTTCTTCAATATCTAGAAGTTCAGGTAGTTCTCGATTTACAACAGTTCATTTAGTGACTGTTCAATTGTTAAGGTAGTAACACGGTTGTTAAGTGAACCTGGATTCCCCTTTGACTTTGCTTCTCAGAAGGTCGTAAAAGAGGATCAGAGGACTTTGGGACATAAATATGAGCCAATTGCCAAGCATCTGAATTTTGATCACGTGACCCTGGGGATGCTGCAACGGTCATAAGTGTGAAAAATGGTCATAAGTCACTTTTTTTCAGTGCCATTGTAACTTTGAATGGTCACTAAACAAATGCTTTTAATTCAAGGATTACCTGTAATGCACACAGTATATCTTTTGCACTGGAGACTCTTGTGTGTGTTGTTGTTTTTTAAAAAAAAATCTTTTTCAAGAAGTTCAGCAGTGGTAGAAATCAGCTTCCTTGAAGTACAGCTTGCCTTTAGTGTGCAACTGTTGGAGTATTGCATACCAGAGCTTTCCAAGACACATTTCTGACCTAAGATGCTTGTTTCTACTGGCTTAGAAAGTGATATTTTTTTTGTTGGTTTGTTTTTCAGTGGAATAATGACACCGGGACTGAATGCAATTCTGGGGCCAACAGGCAGCGGCAAATCTTCGTAAGTTTTACAGCAGTGGACAAATGTGATTTCATTTATATATAACTGGGAATCCCCTGGGCAATGGTGATGTCACCAGCTAATCCTTTTAACTTTGTGACAGCTGCTTGAATTTCGGCGCCCTGCTCCTCTCCTCGCGCCCCACCCGTGCGGAGTGTGCGTTCTGCCGCGCGCAATCATCTCGCTGCTTTTCTGACGTTTGCATATGCGATGCTGCCGTTTCAGCTGGTTGTTCTTTCTTGCTGTCATTGTCCCTGTCCATGTTGGTTCCAAGTCTTTTGCTGTCACTCATTGGTGCTGTCTGTCTCCTCTCGACCATTTGCTGTGACCCTAAATCCATTGAGGAAGGAATACGATCCTCTGTTGACCTGTTTGTATCAGTGAGGATCTGTGGCTGTTTCATCCTTGCAGTTTTCTTATTTAAAGATATCTGCTGGCGTAATGTCTGATAAGCTGGTAACAGTTCAATATGGCGGTTGATGGAATGCTTGTTGGATAGCCATGCCTCTTTTAGCAGACGGCCGCCCTTTGTTGCATCATGAGCAATGACCCTAGAACTCTGACGATGTCAGCAGATGCTGACGAAAGCTAAGTTTTTAAATAAGTTTTTTAGTCTCGGTGATCTGTGTTTTAGTTTTTGAATATATATATATATTTGCACTCCGCTCATGTCAGAAGCACCGAGATGCTTCCAAGTTAAAAGGATTAGCTGGTGACATCACCATTGCCCACGGGACACCCAGTTGGGGGGGCGCCTTTCATGTCCACAGCAGGAGCTGGAGTAAAAGATGGGTTCTTACCCCCCCCATTGTAGCACTTGGGTTTCAAGCACAGGCTTGCTCTCACCTCCAACCCAGCCTCCTAACCGCAAGAGCCACCCTACTACATGTGGTTTTCTATAATCCTTTGCTAAGCAGAACTTACTTTGATGTGAATCATAATTTGATAGCTTCTCTGTTCGCTATTTTGTTGGAATATTTGCTCGGATCCTGATAGGTATAATGCAGTGATGGTGAACCTTTTAGAGACTGAATGCCCAAACTGCAACCCAAACCCCACTTATGTATCGTCGGGTGCCAGGGGGGCGTGGCCCATTGGGTGGGCGTGGCCCATTGGGTGGGTGTGGCTGCGGTGGTAACGGCAGACTGGGTGGATATAAAAAGTTCAATCAATCAATTCCAACTTTGTGAGATTTTTTTTTTCCAATGAGAAGTTGAAATTGATTGATTGAATCTTTTTTTTCTTGCACATGGCGGCAGAGGCCTAAAGCGAAAAGGTTTTATAAAACCCAGCTGAAGGCCTAGGACTGGGGCGATGGCATGCGTGCCCACAGAGGATGGTGTAATCCTGGCTGAGGAATTCCAGGAGTTGAAATCTTCAAGTTGTCAAGGTTGAGGAACACTGATTTACATGAAATAATAGCAACTGCTGCAAAATTAGACTGGGAGAGATGAGACAGATGGATTTTGATGATCTCTGCCAAACCCTCTTATCTGAAGGCATTTCGTTTCATTGAGGCTTTCCCCATAGTTGCAGGTTTTATATAACCAAAACCATACAAACATGTTAATGGCATTTGTGCACTTTTCACTTTAGCAAAATGTGGCAAACATCAGGCAATCCTGATTTCTCTTTTAGATTACTGGATATTTTAGCGGCACGGAAAGATCCTCATGGCTTAACTGGAGATGTTTTCATCAACGGTGCCCCCCAGCCTGCCAATTTTAAATGCATCTCCGGCTATGTAGTACAGGTAATTGATTATCTTTCTTTTCCCCACCTTATGGTTCACCAAATACAGTGAAACATCAGAACTGTTACGTGTAAATGTCTTTTATGCAAAAGAAATCTGGATATGTATGGAGTGGACTATTCCATGCTTTCTCTTCTTTTTTTGACACTACAAGAATCTGGAGTGAAAGTTGCATGTGTTCCTTGAAATCTGACAGAGGCCCAGGTTTTCAGCTGCTGCTGCTACAGTTGAATGCTAGGTTGGTTAATAATAAAACTCCTCTCATTTGTGACCTTATTAGAGAGGAACATGCCAACCTGGAAAACATTACCAAGAAATGGCTGGGCTTGAAAGCAAGGGGGTTCTGAGCGGCACCTGGTAGGATTTGCAGTATGGCACCTCTTAGACCTGCAGGGGTCAAACAGTTGTCATCTGGGACTATCTATTGGCCTTCAGAGGTGCTGCTCCACAAGTTGCCGGTTGTGAGATCCTGTTTCACATGGGATAGGCTCATGGGCCCAGCTGGGATTGTTGCTACTGTACCAGTCACCCTGCTGCATAGCTACCTCCAGGCTATGAGTTGGCTATGGAGTTCACAGGCTTATAGTATCTGGAGGCTTCAATTTGCTGTCCCTGAGGTTGGTCTCAGAAGCAGCTCAGGAGTTCGTGGCCACCATTGGTTGCACTTTTGATGAGCCCTGGCAGGAGCAGGATGGAGACAATGGTGGCTTTCAATATAATTCTTTTTGGGTTAGCTTTAGGAGCTGGGGGGTGAGGGCCACAGTTTTAGGCTGGTTCACCTCCTTCCTTTGGACCAGTCCAGTGGCGGGATTCAAATATGTGAACAACCGGTTCTCTGTGTAGATGCCGCTTCCGGAAGTCCATTCTGGGCCTCGGCAACAAAAAATTAGCTACTTCTGCCTAACTGGTGCAAACCGGCTGAATCCCACCACTGTACCAGTCCCAATCGGTGTTGATAGGGAGTGAGAGGTCCAGCCTGTGGCCCCTGCTTTGTGTGGTGCCATAGAGGTCAGTGCTCTCTCTGCTCCTTTTTAATATCTAAAGGAAGCCGCAAGGTGAGATCACCACAGGATGATATCATACTGTATTCTGATAATATTCAGGTATAAATCTTCACACTGGGGGAAGTAAGTGATGCTATGGATGCCCTTTTATGATCAGGAGGTTGGGGGGGGAGAGGGTCCTGGATGGGGAACAACAAGTTTCAACTGAACCCTGATAAGTGGAGTGGCTCTAAGAGGCTCCTCTGTATCTAGGGACATCAAACTGAAGTCCTCCAAGCCTGGTGATCTCCACAGCTAACCCCAAGACAGCTTCCAACAGCTCAGGCAAAGAGGTTGCTAGGTACCAGTTATATCCTTTCCTGATTGAGAAGCTCTTCTTTCAGTCACTGGTACCCTGATCACCTCCCATACGGACTATTGCAATGCTGTCTAGATGGGGCTATCCTTGAAGAGTAGCTGGAACCCGTAACTGATGCAGAATATGGCAGCATGAGCGGTTTTGGATACCCCTAGGATTACTCATGTAACACCACTACTATACAAGCTGCATTGGGTGCTAATTTGCATCCTGGTCCAATTCAAGTTGTTGGTTATTACCTTTAAAGCCCTTCATAGCATGGGACCAGGTTATCTGAGGAACCATCTTGTCCCAATTACATCAAGACATCCCATCTCCTCAGACAGGGAGGGTATGTTGTGGACCCCGTTGGTTAAAGAATTACGACTGGTGGGATTTAGGAAGAGAACCTTCTTTCTCATTGCCCCTGCCCTTTGGAACATCTCACCTTCAGAAGTGATGGGCCCCCTCCTGCTCTCCTGGTCTTCAGAAAAAGGAATCAAGATCTGGCTCTGCCCATTGGCATGTAGGCCTAAGAGTGATATATGCAACCCTGGGATTCGTTGGTGGCTTGAGGGCATTGCCTTTGCCTCTTTAACATTTTTACCTTCTTAATTTTTAACTTTGCTTTTAATTATGTTTTATTTATTTATTTATTACAAAAATGTTTTTAACTCTATTTTTAATTATATGTTTACCTCTGTTTTTAATTATGTTTTTTTTATACTACTGTAGGTTTTTATTTGTAAAGCACCCAGAGTCACTCAGGCGAGATGAGCGGTGTAGAAATTTGATAAATAAATACATATACAATTTCCGGTTTGTCGCAAATAAATGGAAATCAGCTAAAAGCTTCCTTTGTATTTTCAGGATGATGTTGTGATGGGGACTTTGACGGTGAGGGAAAACTTCCAGTTCTCAGCTGCACTCAGACTACCCAAAACAGTAAAAGCTCATGAAAAGGAGGAGAGAATCAACCAGATCCTCAAGGAGCTGGGATTGACAAAAGTGGCAGATTCAAAGGTAATGAAATTAAATCTCCCTGAGGACTGAGTTCCATAAAGGGAGTGCTAGAAATGGACTAGCCTTCACTTAAATGATGATGGTAGGTAATGTTATTGCCAGAATGTCAGAACTAATAATTTAGGGAAGTTCCTGAATAATAAGACAGATGAAAATATTCAAGCCACATCCATGATTAGATAGAACTGCCTTATCTAACCTCATGCCCTAACTTCACCATGTGCTCTTTGTGTCATTAATAGGGAGACCTATGATCTACAACACTTGTGCATAGCCTAACTACAACACAGTATCAACCTTTGGGAGAAGTGAAGAACAGGAGGGCTTAAGTGTTACCAGATCTTTACATTAAAAATGAAGAATACAAAATTCTGGCTACTCAACGATCAGACTGAGAGAAATTGGTCTTAATGAGATGAAAGTAGTGTATCATTAGCTTTCTGATTAACTGTGCAGAAGTAAATATGAACCAGGTTAAGAGATTAGACCAGTGGTGGCGAACCTATGGCATGGGTGCCAGAGGCAGCACTCAGAGCCCTCTCTGTGGGCAGGCACGCCGTCGCCCCAGTCCTAGGCCTTCAGCTGGGTTTTATAAAACCTTTTCGCTTTAGGCCTCCGCCGCCGTGTGCAAAAAAAAAAAAGATTAATCAATCAGTCAATTTCAGTTTCTCGCAGGAAAAAAAAAGATCTTGCAAAGTTGGAATTGATTGATTGAACTTTTTAGTCCCACCCAGTCTGCCGTTACCACTGCAGCCATGCCCACCCAATGGGCCACACCCACCCAATGGGCCACGCCCACCCGGCACCCGACGATGCATAAATGGGTTTTGGGTTGCAGTTTGGGCACTCAGTCTCTAAAAGGTTCGCCATCACTGGATTAGACTAATAAATGGAGGTGAAATACAGAGTGAATACTTAAACCAGATGTTACTATGGCTTGTTCTTATCAACACTGAAGTAGGGTTCAGCAAAGGGTGCCTGAAGATGACAATGTATTAACATTGTGTCTCTGCTAATGTACCACTGATAATGAATACATATTCCAGTTGGAAGGGTCCTTGGTACTCTCTAAGCTTGGTTGTTTTCTTGTAGACATTTCGTTATCCAAACTAGGTAACGTCATCATGATGTTATGAAATGTCTGCAAGAAAACAACCAAGCTCAAAGAACACCAAAGTCCATTCATTTCAAATATTCTCCTTTATCTTCCAAGGTTTTTTAAAAAAATCAAATTCAATAATGAGTCTTCTATTGTTGGGTGCTAAATAATCTCTGCCTGAAAATGTTTTCTAGAAGACAATGTCATGGACATTCCCATTTTCCATTAGGTTGGAACTCAGTTCATTCGTGGCATATCAGGAGGAGAGAGAAAAAGGACCAATATTGGAATGGAGCTCATTACTGACCCGGCCATCTTGTTCTTAGATGAGCCAACCACTGGTCTGGATGCCAGCACAGCCAATGCCGTTTTGCTGCTCTTGAAAAGGTAGTTGCTAGATGAAGCACTCCATGTAGAAACTACACAGAAAATAACTCGAGGTTTTCAAAAACAGACTGGACAACCGTTTGGCTGCAATGGTATAAGACTCCTCCCTTTGGCAGAGGGTTGAATTAGAAGACCTCCGAGGTCCATGTCAGCCCTTTGATTCTATAAAAGGAAGTGATGCTATAGTCCAGGGGTTTTCAAACTTGGCCCTTTTATGACTTGTGGACTTCAGCTCCCAGAATTCCTCAGCCAGCATCGCTGGCTGAGGAATTCTGGAAGCTGAAGTCCACAAGTCATAAAAGGGCCAAGTTTGAAGACCCCTGCTACAGTCTTTTTTCCATGTACAAAGACCACACATAGAATAAAAGGAGGCCATTTTCTATAACATCGTCCCCTTGATCAGAGGATCAAGATATAATTCAGAAGCAGTTTTCTTAGCAGCCCCGCCCGCTCCCTGAAAAGAAAAAAGAATCATGAAAAGAAAGAGACCAGTTACAATACTGACATTTTGCACAGCCAAACAAAATGACAGATGGATAAATGGATGGATGGATGGATGAATAGGTGGATATTTTAATTCGCTTTTCCCCCAAAAACCAAACCAAACCTAGGATTTGAGTGATCAATATTAATTTTCAGGGTCTTTTACGTTAAGGAATTAACTTTAACTCTTTAACATATTTCTAATGAGCTTTCTACTCTCTGTGCAGGATGTCTAAGCAAGGGAAAACCATTATCTTTTCCATCCATCAACCACGCTACTCCATCTTCAGAGTGTTTGATAAGCTGACTTTGCTGGCTGCAGGAAGACTTTTGTATCATGGACCTGCTCAGAATGCCTTAGAATACTTCAAGACCATCGGTAAGTGTCCAGAAGGCTATTTATTGAATGCCTGGATATCTCCTTTTCTTTTTTAAAAAAAGATCCGGGATCTGATTTGGAACCATAATGTTGATGGAAAAGTATTTACCTCTGAGATTAATTTGCCAAAGATCCAGTATGATTCTTAGCTCAAAAACAAACAGTAAAGGACAGGATTGCTCATGGAGTATTAATATGAGCAAAATTATAAATTACCTTACTTAATTTAAGCGTATGTATTAGATCTGGATAATGTATTTGGAGAGGCATTGCATAAAATTACCAAAGATGGTTTTGTTCTTCAGAGGCTCATCATATTTCGAAGTCTTCCTTCAGTTTTCTTAGTACCCTGTCTCTGGATGCACATTTACGTTCAAAAACCTGAGAAAAAAAGTCTGAAGCTGACATAATGAGCCTTGTAGAAACCTGGCCTTCAGAATGCTTTCCACAATTCTATTACACAATAATTAAGGTGTACCAAGTACCATACATGTACTTTGGAAACTTTGGAGTCGAACAATGTGCTTTTTATGTTATGAAACAATTTTGAGGGAGACATTTATTAAGAAGTAGCCAGGGGAGATATACACGGAAATGTCCTGTCCTTCTCTAAACAATCAAATCTTCAATGACTTGTGTTCTCTCTGGTTTCCATCACCAACATTAAATCCCAAAGGAAAAAAAGCCGTGACGATGCTACTATCTTTGCTAAGGTGGAATCCTGTATTTTTTAAATTGGTGGATACGTTTTGCTTCTCCTGGAGAAATTCAGAGAAAATGTCCACCCGATTTCTCTGTCCTAAATTTTATTAGAGAATTTAGGAAGCCTGGTTGGGCCGGCTCTAGCAAACAATAATGTAGATGTTTGTGGTATTGCCAGAAATGCTTTGCCATATATTTTCACCTACGGTTGAAATGATGCAGAAACATTTTGTTTCTTTTATTTTTTCCTTTCTTTCTTTTTGAGGTTATGAGTGTGAACCATACAATAACCCTGCTGACTTTTTTCTGGATATCATTAATGGAGACTCGACAGCTGTGGCTTCTCCTAATGAAACTGAAAAAGGTATAGTGTGCAAAACATAGCTCCTTGTTCAGAATCACTGCCTGGTGTGCTATAGAGAGGGGCAGTCTGCTTTTTGCACTGCCAGCTCTGTCATTGAGCTCACTTAGGATCCAAATAGTGCAAATGCCACAGCAAGAAACATTTATCAAAGTACATTAGATTCATTTATATGTCAGTACTCCCAAATGCTGCATAGCTTTCACAAATTATGATGCAGTGGAGCCACAGAGAGAAGGGGGAAAGCTGCATCCATCATTACATGGATTATATTTTAATACCAGCTCTGACAAATTGAAAAATTACCCAGATTAACACTTTGTTCTGCAATGTTTATCAATCCTCTAGCTACGCTATGCATCTGTTGAAGTGAGCTACGATCTACAAAAGCTGCTATCTTTTAATAAATGTTGTTAGCCAAAAAAGAATAACAGAATAACAGAGTTGAAAGGGACCTTGGAAGTCATCTAGTCATCATCCACCCCCCTGCTCAAGCAGGAGACCCTATACCAGGGGTAGGCAACCTTGGCTCTTTTATGACTCGTGGACTTCAACTCCCAGAATTCCTGAGCCAGCATGGCTCAGCATGGAAACCTCTCCATTTCTCCTCAGCATGGCTGGCTCATGAATTCTGGGAGTTGAAGTCCACGAGTCATAAAAGAGCCAAGGTTGCCTACCCCTGCCCTATACCATTCCAGACAAGTAGCTGTCTAGACTTCTCTTAAAAGCCTCCAGTGGTGGAGCACCCACAACTTCTGAAGGCAAGTCATTCTCCTAATTATTCTGTCAGGAAAATTCTCCTTAGTTCTAGGTTACTTCTTTCCTTGATTAGTTTCCATCCATTGCTTCTTGTCTTGCCTTCTGGTAAGGTACAACCAGATTCTGATTTTTTTTGGCCATCCTTGACTAATTTAGATTCCTTCTATTTTTGTCTTTTTACCAACTTTTAATGCTCGTATTGTTATTATTTCAGATTTTTGTGTGCACCACTTTGAGCCACATTTAGATGTAAAAGCGTAGTAAAAAATTCAAAATGAATAAAAGGATATTTACACGCCCACCGACTTGTGGGTGACAAGGAAAGTGTTAGACCATGATCAGTGAGATGCAAGTCAAAGTTTGAACTCAACTACACAGAAATTCACTAGGTGACTTGGAGTCAGTAACTTTGTTTTAGTTTAACTTATCTCCCAGGATTGATATGGGGAAAATTAAAAGAAAGAGATATATGAATGCTGCCTCAAGTTCCTAAAGGAAAAACAGATATAGATCAAACCAGGGGTAGTCAACCTTGGCTCTTTTATGACTCGTGGACTTCAACTCCCAGAATTCCTGAGCCAGCTAAGCTGGCTCAGGAATTCTGGGAATTGAAGTCCACGAGTCATAAAAGAGCCAAGGTTGACTACCCCTGGATCAAACAAACAAACAGTTCTGAATTGGCTTTGCTGTCTCTGCAGAGATTTATAGGTTTGTACAGTTTTCTGTCATGATCATTATCATGGTGCTTATCATTAGCATAAATACAGGTAGTCCAGTTCGTTTAGTGACCATTCAAACTCAGTTGCAGTGTCCCACGGTCACATGATCACCTTTTGTGACCTTCTGGCAAGCAAAGTCAATGAGGAAGCTAGTTTCACTTAACAACCATGTTACTAATTTCACAGCTGCAGTGATTCACTTAATAACTGTGGCAAGATGGGTCGTAGAATGGAGCAAAACTCACTTAACAACAGAAATTTTGGGATGAATTGTGGTCGTAAGTCAAGGACTACATGTACTTAAGCAACGATACTCCCACCATGATCAAGCCAAAGTGCTGTCCCACCCAGAGAAGGAAAAAAAAAACGTATTCAATATAATTAATTTTCCTCTTATCTCTTTAAAGATGGTACTCATGATCAGACGCTGGCAGAGAAATTGGTAGAGAAGTATTCAAGTTCTTCTTACAACCAAGAAACCAAAGCAGAATTGGAAAAGCTGTCTTCAAAGGGCAAAACCAAAGGGATCACTTTCCAAAAAATCACCTATTCCACTTCCTTCTTTCACCAGCTGAAGTGGGTCTCCAAACGGATGTTCAAAAATTTAATAGGTAATCCTCAAGCCTCCATAGCACAGGTAATTCTAAAGGTTTTGATTGTCCTGTCCTTTCACATTCCAATCTTACACTTACTGTAGCTGGTGAGGGGTTGCTTGGGGCTTAGGTATCAATGCTTCCTTATTTTCAATAAGGAATTAATTTCTTTCACATTTCCTCTTACAGAAGTCTTTACAGTACTGTTAAAAAAGACAGAGGACTATTGGTGCTTCCTGTTAACATGCCTTCCCATCACTCTAAAGCAGCGGTGTCAAACTGCCGGTCCGCGGGCCAGATGCATCACGTGGAAGCCACGCCCACCCCATTGCCGGCAATAGCAAAACTGTCCCGATACATTGGGCGACGTCACATGACGTCATGAGTTTGACATGTCTGCTGTAAAGCATCTCTGACCACCCACACCTTCCAATTTGAGAAATCCCAACTGGCAATTCCCTCCTGACATTCCCTTGATTATGGAAGGGGTCTCAGAGAAGATCAGCTGGAGAAAAAAGCTGATCTTCTCTGAGATCCTTCTCATTCTCAGAGACAGCACCAGTTTGAATGCTGGCTCTCTAGGAAACTAACTAACCTGATTATCCTCCCCATTTCCTGATCCAAAGGATATAATTCATATTTCCTTATGGAGCTGTAAGTTTCTCGTTGGTTGGGACTTCTGCCTCTTGGATCTCCTAGAACAGAGGTCCCCAACCTTTTGGGCACCAGGGATCGGTTCTGTGGAGAGAGGTTTATCTGCGGACCAGGGAGTGCATGGTTTTGTGTGCTGCCTGCATCTTGCAGATGGGGCTTTGCTTCTTTGTGTGGCCCAGTTGTTGGCATGCCGCGGCCAGGTGCTGGTCTACAGACTGGGGATTGGGGACCCCCAATCATGAGGGCTGAGGAATTCTGGGAGTTGAAATCCACAAGTCTTAAAGTTGCCAAGGTTGGAGACTCCTGCTCTACAGATATTCTGCCTCATGTTTTACTACCTTACTGCAGCTGAGATACCTTGTTGCCTTACTTTACTGATCATCCCACACTGTAGTTTCCTGATTCTCCCCATTTTCCCCCCTTCTGGTTGCAAAAAGCAAACATGAGAAGGGAAGAATGAGGGTGAGGATAAGCTGTCATTTTTGTATCCTTCCGTTAGCCAGCTGTAGGAGCTAATGATGGACACTAGCTTGACAGCTTGAAATTGCTGTGAAAGATTTGATAGGTGAGTCCAGTGACTGTGTGGAAGTTCTCTGAGATTCAATAAACAAATACTGTTTTGGGATCCCTGATAGTGTAAAAGTTGTTTTAGAGGTAATTGCCCTGGAGAAATAGCAGCAGACAAAATCTGTCCCCTTTCACCATCATTTCTTAGAGGTTTGGTGGTATTGGGAAACTTTAGAAGTGGGGCTTAATAAAATGATTAGATCTGTTTGATTTCTTGTTAAAACCTTTGCTCTCCACGAGGCAATAATCTCCTCATCACAGCGTCTTTGATGTTGTATGTTGATGTTATGAAAATCCCTTTTAATTGCATTGTAAAAGCTTGACCTTGTGACAAGAATTATGCCCTTTAAGAGTCTTATAATCTCCTGAGGGCTAAGAGTCCTAACTTCCTGCCCCTCTTGATTGCTTTGATCTTCCTAACCTCATTAGGAATGGCTTATGAAATGAAATCTGTAAATGCTCCAAGGTATTCCTTTAAACCTTTGTATTAATCTTCTCAGATTGGTCTTGCTATGATCCTTGCTCTCTAATACAATTGGCTTAGTTGCACGATTTTTGACACTAGGTCTTTTTGGCAGTTTCTGGAATTTCTTCAGTTCAAGATCGACTCTCAATGGCCTGATACCATTACTTTGGCTGCAATTTTAATCAATGCTATGTAGTTTCTTTTAAAAAAAATGTTTTATTGATTTTTTTACAATAACAATCCTTAGGGCTTGGTTTACAGCATGTTGTCTTGGTTCAGAATTTTTTTTTAAAAAAAACACACACAATCAATAGTAGTTAATTAACAATTAATAATAATTTATTTTTATACTTCCATAATTAGTATATTGATTAATAGTATATTTCTTTGATCTTCTCTTCTCCTAATAGTATTCTCCTTCTTTAACCTTAAACAAATATAATTAATATTTTCAGTGCATAAATTATTAAATATGAACATTTTTATCATGTTTGTACCAACAATAAAAGCATCCATATATGACTTTTTTTTCTTATCAACTTGTGTTATTTTTATAAAAATCATCTTATTGGTTCACCATATATCCTATTTTCATAAATCTTGTTTAAGCTTAATTTTTCCTTAATATTCAAATGATTCTTATCAGTCATAATTTTCTCAGTATTTAACATCTAAATATCCAAATTTTCCATTTAAATACCTCATCCCAATGTTTTCATACTTCATATGTTATAAAAATAGTATACTGCTTATGACATCTTTTCTGATCGGTTTATGTTTCAGTGCTATGTAGTTTCTTGTAGTTCAATCATTTATAGGATGGGCCCAATATGTTTTATTCCCTGTGCAAAGATCCTTCTGGCTTGGACAAGTATTATTGTTCTCCACATATGGATTCCAGCTTCTAGAATTCTTGAGCTAACTTAGCCATTACTGAGCATTCTAAGAGATGAGGCCACATTTGTATGAAGGATGAGAATTTCACACCATATCTGTCTTATCCCATGGTGATACAGTTTGAGATAGTTACATCCAGTCAGCAGATCACACTAGATACAGGGGTAGGCAACCTTGGCTCTTTTATGACTCGTGGACTTCAACTCCCAGAATTCTTGAGCCAGCATGGCTCAGCTTGGAAACCTCTCCCTTTCCCCTCAGCATGGCTGGCTCAGGAATTCTGGGAGTTGAAGTCCACGAGTCATAAAAGAGCCAAGGTTGCCTACCCCTGCACTAGAACAAGTATTTTCCAATAGGTTTATGTTAGCGTATAGACCAAACAAATTGCTCTAATTTATGAAATGTCACTTGTCTTATCTACTAACACAATTCCAAACTTCTCCTGAAACTAATAATTATTGTTAAAAGTAGCCATTCACATTTAATATCAGTTGAACACGGGTTAATAGTGATGACTGGAAAATTTGTTGTTATAGCATGATGCCTTCGATTTTTTAAAGAATGAATAAAGGCTATTTTGGGGAGAAAAAGAAGCAAAATTTGTCTTTGGTTTTGATGATGTCAACTCATGTACCATGGCTGTGCATCAACTAATAACTGAGCATAATATATGTTTATATTCCAGTTACTGGTTACGATTTTCCTGGGATTAGTCGTGGGTGCCATATTCTTTGGTGTAACGAATGATGGTAAAGGTTTACAAAATAGGTGAGTCCTTTGGGGATAATAGGATGATCAAATGAGTGGTATTTGTTTTGAGTGCAAATTCCAACAATGATAACTTGAAATAAAATAGATACCTTATTTTAACAATTTGAAAATGTTCATTACACAAAAATGTATGGTGAATTGGCGAGTAGGACATTACAAGAGATTTCCACTATTTTGATTGATATTTATCTCTATGTACGTGTTTTTGCATAATGGGATGATTATACAAATTGTATTTTGGAGGTAGTGCTTCAATTCAGCTATGGAAAACACACTTGAAATAGGGTGTGTTCATAGGGTGACATCATTGCTTCTGCCATCTTCACCGTTTAATAGCAAGTGCTGTTGCTTTTAAAGCCAAAAAACACCACCTACACAAAATTGATATAAAAGGTTGCCAGCGGTAATAACTTTTCTTGTTTTAATTTTGATAAAATATGTATTTATTTGATCAAGGTTAAAGCAAGATTGTTGTTACTTCTTCTGACAACTTTTTAAGGAAAAAAAATAGTCAGATAAACTCTTTTGGCTTATCATTTGTATTTCCCTTTAAAATTTTAAAACCTTAGCCAGTTTCTTTTGTAGAACCAGTGAAACTTCCTTTTCTAAATCATTCTTTTTGATTTATTATTTGCCTCCTAGAACACAAGTGACAGAAGCGCTGGATTATTTTTTTTAAAAAGCCATTTGAAAAAGCTAGTTTCTCATAATGACAATCTGTCTTTTCCCTAGAATCGGTGCCATGTTCTTTATGACCACTAATCAATGTTTCAGCAGCATCTCAGCAATTGAACTCTTTGTGGTGGAGAAGAAAATATTTATGTAAGTAAGCATTCTTAGAGAAAATAGATGATGAACATCTAAAAGAATTCTTTATTTAGTGATAAAATCTTTTGATCTATTAGCTCTTCCCTTGCAGTATAGTCTCCTTGGAGTTGAGAAGACCACTCTAGGCCTCAATGGGTGTGCAAGTTTGACTCTCGTTGCTGTGTTTGGCTGTGTATAGGGCAATCCAAAAACTCAAGATAGTAGTCACAATGTACCTTTTAGACATGCTTCTGTTTTTATGACTATTTCTATCTTTAATCTGTGATATTTATTGAGAATGCCACCTACTCCCTTCATGATTCTGGGTGGTACCGGCAATAGCACTTAAACTTATATACCGCTTCACAGTGCTTTACATCCCTCTCTAAGTGGTTTATAGAGTCAGCCTATTGCCCCCAACAATCTGGGTCCTCAGTCAGCAGAATTAGCCTGCAGTACTGCATTCCAGCCACTGTGTCACCATTCAAAGCATTCATAACAAAGAAATTAGCAAGTTTAACTGATATACAAGAGATAAAAAAAACAAGCAAAAGTCTTTCTAAAACAAAAAGTCTGTCTAAATAAGTTTTGAATGCCAGGCTTTACTCTTTAATTTCAAAAATGTATTGGGGCAAAACCAAAATGGCTTAAATTAAAAGGAATCATAGTTTTTGCAGAAATAATAGTTAAATATGTATGTTCTAAGAATGGGAGTTTGATATTAGGATAAACATTGTTATTAGGATATATCAAAATGTGATATTTAATTTTGATTGATTTATTGATTGATTGATTTATCTATCTAGCTTGTGAACTCAGTCATAGACGCTTGAAATGCTGAGCCAGGTTTTATGTATAGAGTGTGAATACAGCTTGTACTTTATTCCGTAAAGAGTAGTTTAATTATTATTCGATATACTGTGTAAACTGGTTGCAAGAAGTCAAACTAAAAGCTGTAGATCTTTTGTAAATGCAATTATTCCGCTCAGGATAATTTCCAAGGAACGGTCATTCTGCTGCAATTCATACATGACACATCTATATTTTTAATGAGTGAAAGTTAATTGAGTATTTTTTGGCTGTTTTGTTATAGACATGAATATATCAGTGGATACTATCGAACTTCTGCATACTTCTTCTCAAAATTAATGGCTGATTTAATACCTATGAGGACTTTACCCAGCATAATTTTCACCTGCATACTTTATTTCATGCTAGGTAAATTTATCATCTTTTGTCTATCTGGAAAAATATACCGAGCGAGCTCTGCAAACAGATGTTTCATGTATAGACATCGTAAAAACTACAATGCATCTTTATGCAAATCGGAATGAATTATGTAACAAAAAATGTAATCCTCAGGCTAATATGATGTTTGACAATATAATAGGATGGAGATTCCAATCCTGCTTTTCTTGTTCTCAAGGACTGAAACCCACCGTAGAGGCTTTCTTTATAATGATGTTTACTTTGATGATGGTGTCATACACTGCAACCTCGATGGCACTTGCTATTGCTACAGGACAAGATGTGGTTGCTGTCGCCAATCTCCTGATGACTATCAGCTTTGTTTTTATGATTGTGAGTACCATGAATGGATGTCTCATTAAGGCTACTTTGTCCAACTTCAGAGGTATCCAAAGGGTCAAAAAAGTTGTCAACCACAACCATAGAATCAAAGCCCCTTTCTTTTGAATTTGTTGCCACGACGCACATAAAAAGATGGGGTTTTCATTGCCTGATTGTGACTTCCCTATTGATTAACCCTAACAATTTGCTTGTCCCTTTCCCTGTTATCATCCCTTCCCCACATAATGCTGTTCAGATATGTTACACATCAACATCTGGCCAGCATGCCCGAATATGGACATTTCTCTTACCACCAGTCCAGCTTGATGGTAAATAGTTTGAAAAACCAAGATGGGATTAAGAAGATACTACACACAGAAGGAAGAGAATGGATTTAGTTGAGAAAATAGAACAGCCTTTAACATTCCAGGAAATGTTTGATCATTTATTGATTATTGCAGTGGTGGTGAACCTATGGCATGAGTGCCAGAGGCAGCACTCGGAGCCCTCTCTGTGGGCACACGTGCCGTCGCCCCAGCCCCTCCTTCCCCACGGCCCCCTCCAGACCAGCCCCCCTGGAGGAGAGTCGCCCCCAGCACAGCCCGCCTGGAGCAGCGCAGCCAAGGATATGGCAGTGAGGACAAGACTCCGCCCTTGTACCCCGTCGCAAGCAGATGATGCTGCGGGGCACAGGTGGAGGGCGTGGCCGCCATGGCGCTACTGGGCCACCTGGATGATCTGTGGCAGGCCGTGGAGGTGGTGGGTGGCTCTGTGGGTGGGTGGGGGCGGGGCAGGGGTGGGGCAGTGCAGGGGTAGGGCAGTTATTGGGCACTTGGTGTCTAAAAGGTTCGCCATCACACGATTATAGTTTCAAAAATTACATTCCTTTTTTTTAATGAATTTTGCATCTTTGATTTTATCTGCAGATTTTCTCGGGTTTGTTGGTCAATCTCACCAGTATCATGTCATGGCTATCTTGGCTCCAGTACTTCAGCATCCCTCGATATGGCTTGACAGTAAGTGCTACATCATCTTGTAAAGAAGAATTGACTAATATGTATCTTTCCGTCCATCCTGTCCATCCATCCATCCATCCGTCCATCCATCCATCCATCCACAAGCATTCTCTAGCCCACAATAGTGTATTGCTGAATAGCAAACAAATGAAATCCTTTCAAGACCTCAGAATCTCTGTTCTGTGATTTCATGAGATTAATAATACAAATAATACTGATTTCATGAGATTAATAATACAAATAATACTGATTTATTGGTTCTTTTATGGGTTCTGACCCCAGTGCAGCTAAACATATAACTAAAGGGGCAATTTTAACAGCAGTGGGTATATTGTAAGTCTAACACACATAATATCTAATACTTCTGAATGCATAGAAAATGCATAGAAAAAATATTATTGTTCTCCTAACTGTATTTTAAAAAAACTTTTCTTCTTGATTAACCATCTTACAAACAAGAAAAGCCTCACCTTCACCCTTTTATAATACCCTCAGATATTATTTGGTTGCGTGTCAAAAAGTTCTGAAAATCAGTATCAATTATTTCCTGCTATTAAATGCTTTAATAGCATTTATTTTATTTATATTATTTTTCCTGCAATTTTAACAGCAGTACGTATATTGTAAGTCTAATGCACATACTATGTAATACTTCTGAATGCATATGTATATTGCCACACACATAGGGCTTGTTTTGTGTATGCTTTCAAAAACACTATTGTGCTATGTTTCTTCATCTTCAAAGGCATTGCAGATTAATGAATTTGTTGGTCTTGACTTCTGCAATATCCATACAAATAAAAACGGGAGCCCCTCCAATTGTACAGATGTTAGCACAATTCAGCCGTAAGTAGAATCTCTGCTTTTCTCAGCTCTGCCTAGTACTAAAGACTTGAGGCAATCCTGGTACGAGATATTATAAGTGAAAGAAATGACATATTATTCTTTTAATATTATTGTTAATGAAGTCTTGAATCCTTTAAAGTGGGAATCAGGAGAAAGCACCTAAATCTGATCAGCCCGCCCCCCCCCCGAATATATTTTCCTATGTAAAGATTTGCACTGATAGTACCAACAACCTACAATTGTAATTGAGCTTGGAATTATGGTTGTAAATCATGTCCGTCGATAAGTGGGTAATCATATGACTAAACTGATTTTACAACATTATTATGTGGTGGTTGTTAGGCCACCCTCAAACCAATCCACATCCATGGGTATAATGTGGCCACATCTGTGTTGCAGTCTTTGGCCCACACAGTCTTTGGCCCTTTGGTGCAGTCTAAGTTCTAGTTGTTTTTTTGCAGATGTTTCATTACCAAACTAGGTAACATCATCAGGTGCACTCAGAGAGTACCAAGGACCCTTCATTTCAACCCTGAGCTACAAATATTCTCCTCTATCGATACCACACAAGATTGTTACACATGTGGTGGAGCTTCTGATAATCAAAAACCTCTGCTTGTATTTCTTTTTAGGTGCACTGGAGAAGAATACCTAAAAGGCCAAGGGATTGATGCAACTAGTTGGGGGTTATGGCAGAACCATGTGGCATTGGCTTGCATGACCATCATTTTTCTTGTTATTTCTTTCTTGAAGCTACATTTCATGAAAAAGTTCTCTTAAGTCAATGAAGTTGTCAAGTGTCCAATCCAGTTGGCCCAAGCCAGCATAATGTAAAGAGGAGAATGAGAAAAAAGACTATTGTTCTTTCAAACTTTTCTTCTTGATTAACCATCTCACAAACAAGAAAAGCCTTATCCTTCAGCCAAGATGTTTGCCTTTATAGTACCCTCAAATATTATTTGGTTGCATGTCAAAAAGTCTGAAAATCAGTGTCAATTATTTCCTGCTTACAAGTATGGAGACTCCACTTGAATAGCATTTATTTTATTTATATTTTATTTTTTTTTTCATATTCCTGACATAGCCCATGCTGATTCACAACATTAAATGACAATAAAATTATATTTAAATGAATGGACCCATCCACAAATAACAATAAAACCATCTCACAAATAAAATTAACCATTGATAAAGACATAAATAAACTTCTAGAAGGGAATGCTACCATTTAAAGATTTCAGGTTATTTTTCAAATAATCAGATACAGTGGTACCTTGGTACTCATCGTTAATTGGTTCCGGGAGGCACAATAATGATGAGTATCAAATAAACAATGATTACTGGGACAAAATGTTCACATCACAATGAATTGAGTATCAAATTCAATGAGTTTTAAAAAGTTGAGTACCAAGCCCACCACTGTATGTGTTTAATTCTTCCCCAAGTACTAAATGGTTATGAAATGCTTAATTCCAGATTAATCATATTTCTCAATATATGGGTTTGTAAGTGATTCATAGTCTAAAGTATAAACATGAAGTGTAACAAAGCCATTGAAGATAAACCAGGACTGGTGACAGATACCACTACAAATACTAAAACTCTACTTTATTGATTTTTTATTATTATTTTTTATTTATCAAATTTTGAAACTGCCCATCTCCCTCACAGACTTTGGGCAGTGTACAGTACAGATAAGATGTACAGATGTGTACAGATAACCTGATACAGGCTTGACAACAGATAACCTGAAAGCTTGACAACAATTCTTTGTTCTCTCTAACATCAAAGAGACTCTAGGCAAGGCAATCTTGAGTATTTTTCTTACACCTTCCTGTTTTCCTGTTCATGGTTTCCTATTGACTACAATATATTTTTTTCAATGCTAACTCCATACTGCTGTACAATTGCGTAAAAGGTTACTTAAATATTCAGTCTATTTCAAACCAATCCAATCCAATTATAGGTCAGTGACCCAGATCAAGTAAATTTTACTAAATAAAACCTGTAATGTACAATCCACAAAATAGAACATATAAAATAAGGCATATAAGGAGCAAGAATTGCAATCATGCTACTGCTATTTTGCTATCAACAATACACACATTTTATTAGTTGCCACACAGGTATGGAAACATGACAGTTTTGTTTATTATTTACAGGCTATAAAACATTTCTACTTACAACCATTATTATGGATTGTACTTTGTGTGCAGTGCTTAGAATGAGAATTACCCCTACTACACACCCAAAACCTGTGAATATATAAGAAAACATTGATATAAAAATCTGCACAGTATGTTGGGATAATATCAGGTGGTTTCCAATTCATATTATCCATAGTTACAGCACAAAAGTTTTATTCTACTGCACTATTGCATTTAAGCATATTTCATGGAGTATTTTTTCTCATAACCTTTTGGGAAGCCAGTGACTGAATTACCATACTTTAAACGTAAAACAGTGATCGTTGGGATTTCATATCAATATAAAAGCCTGCATTTGAACTTTTTGGTAGAAAAAGTTCGAGGTATACTTGCTTTATATCAAAATATATTAAGGATGTTCAATACCTATGTCAATATAACAGGTACAAATGGGTGGTCAAAGCTGTCCCTCTTTTTAACATGTACATGATGCATATTTTTCTTTTGTTCAATCTTGTCCAATTCTCAGAGCCTGCCTAGAGAAGTCTGCAGTTTTCTTGGCAAGATCTTTTTGGAAGTGATTTGCTACTGTCTTCTTCCCAGGGCTGAGAGAAAGTGACTGGCCCAAGATCACCCAGCTGGCTTCATGTCCAATGTGAGACTAGAACTCATAGTGGTCTTCAAACTTGGCCCTTTTATGACTTGTGGACTTCAACCCCCAGAATTCCTCAGCCAGCATGCCTGAGGAATTCTGGGAGTTGAAGTCCACTAGTCATAAAAGGGCCAAGTTTGAAGATCCCTGTTCTAACCTAATGCCTTAACCACTACACCAAACTGGCTCTTGTGGTGCATATAATAAATCACATTCTGACATATTGGCAGCCCTGACATATGCCCCTGCCTCACATCAACATTGATATAAAGCGATGACTAAAAATGTCTTCATGAGTAGGTAAAGATAAATGTAAAAAAATGAACATTGCTTTAAGACTGAGATATGTACTGAAACAGATTCCTTTGTTACTACCTTGAATGGATTTTTCGCATTTGGGAAGGACAAATTTCCTAATTGTGCCACTGATGAGCTTTATATGATCATGGAAATTTTAACTTCCTCAATCTTCAGTTTTATTACCAAGCATATGTTTTCCCTTCTATTTTCTTGTGGAATTTAAAACTGAGGAAATTAAGATTATATGACTATGTTAACTTTTTAATACTTCGGCAATATCTTGGTTCTTTCTTCTGGCCAAAATTCAGTTGTATTTTCAACACTGAAGGCTGCCAGGCATATAAAGAAGTATGATGTTGTTTCTTATTTCATGAATTTTATACCTTTGGGTTAATCCTACATTGCAAATTCATGTATCTATATACGTATGTATAAAAGTTCATAGATAAATAATATTGTACTTTAGTTCAACTTATTGTCAACCAAGCTTTCAAACATCTGTTTTTTATTATTGCAAAAAGGAGTTGGATTGTCTAAAACTACAGAAAAGCAATAGGTTTGATTATAGCGTCTTTTGATTTCATAGCCTAGCCTGGACTTGTTACCAGCTCTACAACTCTTGAATTATTATTATTTTTGAAAAATATACTTTACAATCCTGTTTATCCAATAGACATTTTTTTTTGGTTGGAAATCAGCAAAAAAAACCCCTCAGAAATCATTGTCATGTGATCAGAGGATATTGTAAATGCAACTATTTGCCAACCACTTGAAATACAGTCATATGAGGGAGTCAAAACTTCAAGAATGGATCTTAAGTAACTTCTTTAGTCTGTTGTAACTTTAAACAGTCATTAAATAACCGGTAGCAAGTCAAGGACTACCGGTATGCAGCTAGTCCTCGGCTTACAACTGTTCATTTAGTGACTGTTCAAAGTTACGGCACTGAAAGAAGTGACTTATGACCATTTTTCATACATACGACGGTTGCAGCATCCCTATAGTCATGTGATCAAAATTCAGACCCTTGGCAACTGATTCAAACTTATGACGGCTGCAGTGTCCCGGGATCATGTGATCACCTTTTGTAACCTTCTGACAAGCAAAGTCAATGGGGAAGCCAGATGCACTTAACAACCGTGTTACTAAGTTAACAACTGTAGTGATTCACTTACTAACTGTGGCAAGAAAGGTTGTAAAATGGGGCAAAACTCACTTAATAAATGTTTCACTTAGCAACAGAAATATTGGGCTCAATTGTGATCGTAAGTTGAGGACTACCGGTATATTCTATATTTTAATTTTTTTCTGTTGTATTATTTTTTAAGTACTTGTTATGTATTGTTTTGATATTGTATGTATCTTTGTGTTTTGTTCCTTTTCTTTTTTTTTCTTTTTCTGTTACCTTGAAAACAATAAAACATTTTATTTAAAAAAACGTAAAGATATTAATGTGATGTGGCTTTTCAAACCAGACATTTGGAGCTTATCAATAGATGAAGAGCACTGGATTCACTAAACATGCATTGAACGACACTGAACACTGGGTTCATTAAACAAGAAGATTGCAGTATCTTAATGAAAAGACCACAGCCCCACTCCAGATTTACAGTCCTGGACTGATGGTTGCATTCTCTCTGCCTTGAACTCATTTTCGCTTGACATCATGAAAAAAACTCACTGATATTCCATGTCATCAAGGTCTAATGTGGGGAGGGGGGTTTAACCCATCTGCTTCTGGGCATCCCAACCACATTAACAATCAGAGCTCTGCACACCCGAAGTAGTCTTTCACCATGGAACTGGTCCCTGGTGCCCAAAAGGTTGGGGGCCTCTGGACTAGATGACCTTCTGCAGACAGTTGGCACCACCACATCAGAATAACAGAATAACACAGTTGGAAGGGACCTCGGAGGTCATCTAGTCCAGAGGCCCCCAACCTTTTGGGCACCAGGGACCAGTTCCATGGAGAGAGGACCGGAGGGGGTGTGGTTTCATGTACTGCCTGCATCCTGCAGATGGGGCTTCACTTATTTGTGTGGCCTGGTTTCTGGCATGCTGCGGACCGGGACTGGTCCATGGACCGGGGGCTGGGAACCCCTGATCTAATCCAACCCTGTTCTAGCAGGAGACCCTATACCATTTCAGATAAATGGCTGTCCAGTCTCTTCTTAAAAGCCACCAGTGATGGAGCACCCACAACTTCTGAAAGCAAGCTGTTCCATTGGTTGATTGTTCTTACTGTCAGGAAATGTTTCCTTAGGTCCAGGTGGTTTCTCTCTTTGTTCAGTTTCCATGCATTACTTTTTGTCTTGCCTCCTGGTGCTTTGGAAAATAGGTTGACCCTCACTTCTTTGTGGCAGCCCCTCAAATATTGAAACACTGCTATCATGTCACCCTTAGTTCTTCTTGCTCTCATGTTGCCCCTAGTTCTTCTTGCTATCATGTCATCCCTAGTTTTTCTTGCTATCATGTCGCCCCTAGTTTTTCTTTTCACTAGACCAGGGGTAGGCAACCTTGGCTCTTTTATGACTCATGGACTTCAACTCCCAGAATTTGGCTCAGGAATTCTGGGAGTTGAAGTCCATGAGTCATAAAAGAGCCAAGGTTGCCTACCCCTGCACTAGACATACCCAATTCTCCTGCTTGAGCAGGAAGCTGGACTAGAAGACCTCCAAGGTCCCTCCCAGCTCTATTCTATTCTATTCTATTCTATTCTATTCTATTCTATTCTATTCTATTCTATTCTAATTCCTGCAGCCATTCTTCCTATGTTTTAGCCATCAGCGCCCCCAATCATCCGTGTCGCTCTTCTCTGCACTCTTTCTGGCATATTTTGGTGACCAAAACTGGATGCAATATTCCAAGCGCGCTTTTACCAAGGCTTCGTTATAAAGTGGTAGTGTCCCCTTCTGTGATCTTCATCCTATCCCTTTAGGATTGCATTGGCTTTTTGCAATCCTAAACAATTCCTGCATTGC